TTATACCATCATCTTCCTCACCATGTAGGCCGCTCTAGAAGTCTGGCCTTCTTCATATTCCAGTATGCATGATTTTCCTTCGTTATCCTCTTTTTCTTCTTCTTCTTTCTCTTTATTCTTAAACTCATTGGCTAGTAAATAGTTATTAGCCACAATAGGAGGTAACGTACCGAACTGAATAGTAAGGGTCTGATCTGGATCTTTTCCATCTTTTCTTTCTCGCTCAAACTTCGATCTCCCAGAAGAAGTTTCTAGCAAATCTTTCATTGATTCATCTGTACCGGTCTCTTCACTATCTTTGAGAACATTTTGATTGGCTACCTTGAGTAGTTTAGGCGCCTTAGGACGTGGCACTCTCTGTTGTTGCCTCATCATTCGCCCATAATTTTGTTGGAAACGCCTTTGTTGGGTTCTAGTCATCTCGTCGAAGGGTATTGCCTTTCCTGCATTATACTGGAACGAATTCCATACATTTGGTTGGCGAGGTTGCGGCCTGAATGTTCTCCCATTAACTATTAGCCTGAACTGCCTCTCAAAAGACGGTCCCTTGTAGAACGATGTACCTCGCCCTCTACCAGGCTGAGCGTTTGGGAGGAGAGTAGGGCGATAGGGATGCTGCCATATCCCTGGTTTCTCCATATTCCTACTCACTTCTCTTTTACATCTTGCACGCAAGACGTCTTCATCCTTCTTTGGCTCTTTCCCTTTAATATGCTCAAAGACACTGGGATGTTGTCCAGTGTCTTCTTCTCCATCATCTATAACCAATTTGAATTTTGGCAACTTGTTTTTGAAATCAGAAGTCACCATATTCACTCCAAGTGGCTGTGGAAAAGGATTTTCATCCACCGCCATCTTCTTCTTATCATCGAACGTAATTCGTCCTGATTCAATAGCATCCTGTAACACATGACGAAAAACCAAGCAATTGTTAGTCAAATGTGACCATGCATTATGCCACTTACAATATTTTTTGCACTTAATTTGTTCAAAGTTTGGCAATTTATGCTTATCGCTCAGCTTTATCTACTTATCCTTATATAATTTATCAAATATAAGGTTAGTTTTGATTACATCGAACGAGAACGTTCTAGCTTTTATATTTTCATCTTTCATAGGCTCATCCTTGCCCGATGGTCTAGGCTTAGCCATTATGGGACAAGTATACGTGTCTCCTTTGACTAATTCGGCCAAACACATTTCGGTCTGATCGTATGACTCGTTATTGATGGTATGAACATCAAATTTTGGGTCTCTATAATAAGTCCCCTTGCTAGAATTTTTTATCTGCTCTTCTTCTCTTATCAATCGTTCATACCTAATCACGTTCACGCTCAATTGGAAAAGGTCAGGAAATTCCTTGTCTTGGAATTTCTTTTTTAAATCAAAGCTCAAACAACCTTGAGCGATTTTGACAAACTCTTTTTCGGACAGAGATATAAAAAACTTACTTCTTGCTGTCTTGAACCTTTGGAGGAAACCTTCTGCCTATTCGTTTGGCATTTGACGTAGGTTCGCCAAATCGGCCAAAGTAACTTCAGACTCAATCTTATAAAACTGAGCGTGGAATAATTGTTCCAATTGTTGCCATGTTTGAACAGAATTCGCTGGCAAATTAATGAATCAGGAGAAAGCTACTCCTGCTAATGAACTAGGGAAAAGCCTCATTTTATGATAATCAGTTACATCACCACTTTGCAGTGTGAATCGTCCTATGTGTTCTAGAGTGGACACCTCCCCTAAACTGGTAAACAGTGAGAATTCTGGCACTTTGTACCCTCTAGGCCATGGATATGCTTGGTCTATCCAATCAGAATATGGCTTTGTGTAAGTCGGCCTAATGACAGAACGTACCCCAAAAGCCATCTGGTCCTGTACGATTCCCATAATCTGATTCCTCAACATGACGTTGGGGTCATATGGAATCCCTATAGGTTGGTTGACCGGTTGATTTGCTTGAGGCCTGATATTTGGTCTTTGATTAGGAATAAAGTTAACCATTAGCTTGAACATTTATTCCCTCATTAACACGTGGGGTATTCTGCCCGTTATTTAGGACATTATCTCTTACATTTGGATTACCCCCAAGTTAGGCGTACCACTACCATTATTCTGATTTAGCATTACACCATCCCCTTGGTTTGAAGTAGAGGGACCGAAATGTGGTTCTACCCCTTGACTTGGATTTAGGACTGGGGGATTATGTCCCACAATTGTCCTAGTTTGAAAATGGTTTGCAAGAGGCATAACTGGTTGACAAATTTGGCCTACTAACTTATTCATTATTTCATTCAAAGTATTCAGTTGTTTGGCCATGTTATCATAATGTGCATTCCCATTCTGGGTAAATCTTTCTATATTATGAATATTTCGAAGATTTACCTATTCAACGACATCTTGTGTGAGTTCTCCAAGTAGCGCACGCATAGTTTGAGGACTCAACTCTGCCATTGATTTGTAACGACTGTTATTGCTTTGACTCTGTCCATCTGTTCGTGGAGCGTTATGTTGCTCCTCATATCGCTCGATCACGGACTGGACTCCTCTCTGACTTGCTGCTTCCTTATCGGATCTCTGAAACATATTGTTTCACCTTTTGTATCTTCAATACCAAACACCACTGTCCCACTGGACGTGCCAAATTGTTTCGCGCGAGTTAGTCTCTAACAATTAAAAAGGGATCAGACGATTGTGTAAGGGATAAACCTCTTGAGACAAAGTCCCAAAAAGGGGTATTTTTATTGGCGATGACTTTACAATTGAAAAATAAAAACAGAATGCCTTCAAGGGGCGCAAACACACGAGTTACTGTAAAAGAAGTGTTTAAATTTAAACTAAGAAATTGAAAGTTACATATTCTCTGTTTGAGAGCGTTTGATTCGGGGTCCTTTACTCTATGTCTTTTCTTCCTTTTATACTGCCTGCATGATCTCTTCATAATCAACCGCTTAAAAACTGTTTGATCGCTCTATAACTACCCACATTCCTTGTAGTGGCCAACTTGTCATGAAACTGCCTTCTCTAACTGCTGCCATTACTTTTGTCGTTCAACCGTCTTCAATTGAATTCCTTGAATCGTGGGACATGGTAGGACTACCTAATAACTGCTTTATTAACTACACTTTTGGGTAACCATAACATCTTATGTTTGCTAAGATGCTGGGCGACTCGAATGTTTGGACGAAAGAAGGGTCACAGCTCTGGGCGACTGCATGACAATTCATTCGCTCAAATCTTGGGCGATGGTATTACCGCGTTCATGGGCTTCCCTATTTGGGCCTTTATCCTGCATTGCCTGATTGATTCGTTCTTTGTGCTATTTGATTTTTTGGGGATCTTCCAGTTAGGCTTCATTCCTTGGGCTATTCGACTTGGGTTAAACTTTTTGTGTGTCAACACATATACTAAATTAACTAGAAATTCTCTTAATTCATCAATATTATGCAAGTTTAAAAGTCTATATAAATGCATAAAATACATGCATCTTCGCATAAAAACTTGGCCTGTCAAAACTGCTATTGACTCCGACTAACCAATGGCATTCCTTTCCCGTACTTGCTTCTTAAGCAAAATATGATAGACATGATGAATCTTTGCACCACGAACTTGAATGGATCATTGAATGGATTTTTGTTACCCATTAAGGCAACATACATCTATTTTAATGCCAGAAGTCATAACTACATCACATATCCTTCGACAAATTCATGTCATATCATGTGCTTGTATGTGGTCTCCTTCATTCTATTTGGAACTTGTTACAAGTTCTTTTTGAGCAACCTAGGTATGACATCTAGAGCCCACGCATTTTGTTGCATTGCGACAACACCTGTGTTCACCCATGTGACGATTAGTAAGTTGGTGGTTGTTTTCGACAGACAACCATTAAGGTAATACCTCGAAAAATGAATGAAGTATGGTACTATTACTCGTCTAAAGCAAGCAATGTTTTGGAGCTTAAAAAAATTGTATGATGCATCATCATTTAACATGTGTTAGCATGTAGCAATTGTTATCCAATAACATATGCTAATATCCTAATTAGCTAATTTGTCAAGAAAATTGAGTAACAAAATATTGTTGCTCTTTCAAATATATTAACAACTTGAAAGGGAAAATCAATGAGCTAATAGACTCCCAATATATGTTGCTGCGAGATTTCCTTTATCCACTTCACCTTCTTTGTGTATTCCATTTCAAATATATTACTTTTTACCTTTGCGTATTTGTAGTTGCATCGTGTAATCTGCTTCCTGAAAAAAGAGGTTAGTTTTGCCTTGCTTTGCAATACTTTGAGCAACATTACTTGGGGCTTTGAGTGGTGACTCTACCGACTGGATTGGTGACGGTTGTGATGATTGAGGTTGATGAGGGTGTGTATTTTTTCTCTTTCCATTTCATCTTTTGATCTTTCTTTGTTCTTTTATATTTTTGCCAAAAACGAATAAAAGCAAAAAACTTGATAATCACGCCATCAATTCTATTGGTTGTGATGACGAAGACAAACATAGTAATCTGAATCCAAACATGAATTTCAATGAACATTTTGAGGAATTGTAAATGAAGAAGACGAGTGACCAAATTGAATTTATACCCTAATTCAAAGACCAACAAATTTTTATGCAATCTAAAACATACATGACAATTGTAATTTTTAATTATTATAGAATTGAAAGAACGAAGGAACAAATTAGTTGAGAAGTTGTCAATAAGTTGTGAGTACCATACTTTTAGTAACTATCGAGTTCAAGATACGACAAGAATACAATAACTACATATCAGATCGTGCAAATATAGCATGCACTATGCATAGCGTTCATGCTCTTGATTTGTTAAAGCAAACATGTTCTTTCATAATAATTTACATGATTTACTTTGATCACCTTTCAAAAAGAGAAGGGAAACTTTCTACAAGATCGGGGACTATCTTTGCAAATCCAAAAGTGTGAAATTTATAAAATTTAAAGTAATTACAAAAACAGCACAAAAATGGAAAAATCGAGAAATTCTTCCCTATAAATAAACCAAGAAATGCCGCTTCGGCTTCCCTGCGCCTAGCCCTATACTTCGGTTTTTTGTTTTTGTATTTGTAGCTATGGAGTTTTATACATTTTCTTAGTGTTTTAATTAATATAATGTTCTAATATTTTACCAAAAAAAATTAAAAATTGATCTATTCTGGGGTTAGGAGGTGTGGATCCGCGTCGATCATAATTATAACTAGGGTTTCCCACCTGTGTTCATTGCCGCCAATATATAGACATATTTGTCTATACATACAGCTTTGATGTATATCTGATCTGTAGAAATAGAAATTTCTTGTTCTGTACTATTTCATACTTCAAAAAGAATTGATCTGAAAAATCAGACAACTGCCCGTATTTTAGGTGTCAAGTGTCATTTATTTTTGGGTGCTTGATTTTGGGGATCGGCGATCAGGGTTCTTTGATTCTTGATTTTGATAATTTTTGCGTTCATTGTATAAAAAGTAATTGCCTTTTTTTATTAGTCTGGGTTTGGAAATTTTTTTATTAGTCTAGGTTTGGAAACGGTGAGGAATGGATAAGAAGAAGGTTGTTGTGCCGCTAGTTTGCCATGGGCATTCTCGGCCGGTTGTTGATTTGTTCTACAGCCCGATCACTCCTGATGGATTTTTCCTTGTCAGTGCTAGCAAAGGTTTTTTTTTTTTAATTTTTAATTTTTTTAATTTTTAATTTTTAATTTTTTTTTTTTGTTTTTGGGCGTCGATATGTGATGTATATTATTTTATGGGTTTTATATGTATTTTCTTGGCAACTTCAACTGATGTTTATGATTGAGTACTGTTTTAAGGATTTTT